ATTATTCGTTCTCTGCAATTTTTTGAGATTATATATTGTCAGGAAGCTCTACGAGTCCCCCGGCGGTAAGAAAGGTTGACGGTTTACCGCCGGCGCCCAGTTGGCCGACCCGGCCCAGGCGGACTGTGAAGACTTTGTGTCGGTTTTGCTTAGATTTGAAAGATATTCAACCATTCATTTTGAGAAAGCAGATTTTTCGCACCTGTGGAAGACCATGAGGGCCTCTGCGTCTTAGTATGAGCTCCGTAGGCGCACTTTTACTATCAAAACACTTGGCGTAATCATCTTCATGTCGACATGAAAAAAATCATGTTCTCTCAGTTTCGAGAAATGCTTCCAGAAGCTCTCTCTTTCGATTCTGAGCACTCACGTGCGGAAGGAGCTCTACGAGGTTCCCGGCGGTGACCAGGTTGACGGTTCACCGCCAGCGCCAGTTGGTCGACCCGACCAGAAGAGACAATGTGACAACTTTGGGTCGGTTTTGCTAACATTTGAAAATATTTGACCATTCATACCTCGTAGAGCTCTCCGGCACCGAAGAGCTAGAGGAATTCCGGCGCGGGGTGGAGCTGGTTGGTCGACCCGGCCAGAACGGACAATGCGGTAACTTACCTTGTAGAGCTCTTCGGCAACGATGAGCTCGAGGAATTCCGGCGCGGGGTGGAGCCAGTTGGTCGACCCGACCAGAAGAGACAAAGTGGTGACTTTGGGTCGGTTTTCCCCAGATTTGAAAGATATTTGACAATTCATTTTGAGAAAGCAGATTTTTCGCACCTGCACTGGGTTATGCCGCGTCTGCCAGTCAAAAGACTTGGAGGCACCGACATTGGATAAAAACAGAAAAACTTGATTTTTCGAGTTTCTCCTATCTCGCTCCAGAAGCTTTCTTCAAGTGTTCCGAGGATCGCCGCGCAAGAAAAGAGCTCTACGAGGTTCCCAGCGGTAACCAGGTTGACGGTTAACCGCCGGTTCCCAGCTGGGTCGGGTTTGCTAAGATTTGCATGATATTGAACCATTCATTTTGAGAAACCAGATTTTTGCGCTAAGCATACGCATAACCTTTGTTCCCAGAGCAGCTCAGCTCTCCCGATGGGACTTTTACTATGGGTTGACTTCCAGGACCCGACCTCGTAGGACATCGAAAATTACAAAAATTAAGATTTGAGAGAATCTTATCCGAAGCTCTCTGCTTCGTTTCTGAGCACTCTAGTGCGTGAAAGGAGCTCTACGAGTTTCCCGGCTGTGAACAGGTTGACGGTTTACTGCCAGCGCCAGTTTTTAGAAAGCTGATTTTTACGCCGAGCATTAAACTTCGTTCCCAGAGCAGCTCAGCTCATCCAGTTTTAGTATAGCTCACTTCTGGCAACACCAAAAAATGTCAATTTGACGTTTTTCTAGAAATACTCCGAGAAACTCCCTGCTTCGATCCTCAGCACTCTTACGCGTGCAAGGAGCTCTACGAGGGTCCCGGCGGTGACTAGGTTGACGGTTCACCGCCGGCGCCAGTTCTGGGGCGCTGGAGAGCTTGTTGGCAAGAAAAATATCGACGGACCTTTGGGTGACTTTTGGTCGGTTGAAAATTTTGTTCTCGAAATTGAACCATTCGTTTCAGCTGTAGTACTTTTTTCCCGTGACATTCGATATTATTCCCGCTCGCCGTCTTGATCTCAGGTCGATCGGGCACCTATTACTGCCACAAAGCATCCCGGCGGGATCGGCCGTTTCGAAGCATCTTGACACGCGTTGGCAGTTTTCTGTGCTTAACTCGAGCTGTAGAGAAGCTACAGAGCTCATATTAACAGAAACCCTCTCAGAATCATCAGTTCGCCTGTTGCATCCAGGGGTCCGAACTCGGTCTGCTGCTCGAGCTAGGTCCGCGAAACTATTCGTATTGTTCGAGTCATCTTGAGAGGTGCTGTCGGTTTTCTGAACTTAACTCGGGCTCTGGGGTGGCTACAGGGCTGGTAATTATAGAAATTGATCTAGAGATATCAGGCGCGTTCGCCCGTCGTATGCAGAGGTCTGAACTCGGTCTGCTACTCGAGCAGGTTCGCGAAAATATTCGTATCGCTCGAGTCATCTTGACAGGGACTGTTGGTTTTCTGTACTTAACTGCAGCTCTAGGGTAGCTACAGAGCTGATACTGACAGACACCGATGCAGAATAATCAGGCGCGTTCGTCTGTTGCATCCAGAGGTCTGAAAACGGTCTGCTACTGGAGCTAGGTCCGCGAAACTATTCGCATTGTTCGAGTCATCTTGAAAGGTGCTGTCGATTTGTTGCACTTAACTCGGGCTGTAGGGATTCGCGGGCCTAGCTCGAGTAGCAAACCGAATTCAGACCTCTAGATGCAACAGATGAACGCGCCTAATGATTTCGAATGGGTGCCTGTAAGCATCAGCTCTGTAGCTGTCATACAGCTCGAGTTAAGTACAGAAAACCGACAGCACGTGTCAAGATAACTCGAATAATACGAATAGCTTTGCGGACCTAGCTCGAGTAGCAGACCGAATTCAGACCTCTGGATGCAACTGACAAACGCGCCTGACAATTCTAAATCGGTTTCTGTAAGCATCACCTCTGTAGCTTCTCTACAGCTCGAGTTAAGTACAAGAAACCGACAACGTCTGTCAAGATGACTCGAAACTGGCCCGTGTGCTTTTTGGCAGTAAAAGATACCCGATCGAGCTGAGATCAAGACGGCGAGCGGGAATAATATCGAATATCATGGGAAAAATACTAGAGTTCAAACGAATGGTTGAATTTCGAGAACAAAACTTGAAACCGGCCGTAAACCGTCAACCAGGTTTTTGAGTTTGAGTCAGGGCGCGGACAGCTGTGACAGCTGAGCCCTAAGACTCCCAAGCGGAGCACAGGGTAGCTAGAGAAGGCACCTCTTATCATCACACTGCCGAGCCACTGAGGCATAGGCATCGGAATAGGATGCAGGAACAAGGAAAAGGATGCAGGAACACATGTGAGAATGCAAAGGTGTTGGAACAGGTTAGAGAATGGTGTAAGAGCGTGTAAGAGCTGGTTGAAACGCTTCCCAAAACGTGTTCCACGGCCATACAATACCGTTTTACTGCCGGGGACCTCGTCGAGTAGCAGACTCTATGCAGAGCTCTAGACGCTTCAGCCGAACGCCCTTGATGATTATGTATCGGTTTCTGTGCGCACCAGCTCAGTAGCTGTGCTGCAGCTGGAGTTAAATGCAGAATACCGACAGCGCCTCTAAAGAGAACTTGAGAAATACGAATAGTGTTGTGGACCTGCCTCGGTAGCAGAACAAGTTCAGGCCTCTCGATGCAACAGACGCACGCACCTGGTGATACTGAATCGGTTTCTGTGCGCACCAGCTCTGTCGCTTCTCTAAATCTTGAGTTGAGTACAGAAAACCAACATGACTGGTCAAAATGACTCGAATAATACAACTAGTTTGACGGACCTAGCTCGAGTAGCAGACCGAGTTCAGGCCTCTGGATGCAACAGACGAACGCGCCTGATGATTCTGAATCGGTTTCTGTCAGCATCAGCTCTGTAGCTCTCCGAAATCTCGAGTTAAGTACAGAAAACCGCGAACGCGTCTCAAGATGACTCGGAACACAGTCGGTTCCTTCAAGTGTTTTGAAAGTAACAGTGCAGCTACGGACCTAAGAATTTCACTGGCAGACGCGGGATAACCCACTACAGGTAAGAAAAATCTGGTTCCTCAAAATGAATGGCCAAATATCTTTCAACTCAAAGCAAAACCAACCCAAAGTTGACACATTGCCCCTTTTGGCTGGGTCGGCCAACTAGCTCCAGCCCGCGCCGGAATTCCTCTAGCTCATCGATGCCGAAGAACTCTACGAGGTATTTTCAACCGACCAAAAGTCACCAAACGGTCCGACGAGATTATTCTTGCCAACTAGCTCTCCAACGCCCCGGAATTACTGGCGCCGGCAGTAAACCGTCAACCTAGTCTTTTGCGTCTTTTGCGAAGGCCGGTTCGAGCTCCCATGGGAGCAGGCCTAAACACAAAGAACCTAAACAGCGAAGCTGTACAGGAAGACAGCGAAGCTGCAAAGATTAAACCAGAGGTGCATCAAACAGCGAGGCTGCACAGATATGCACAAGACTGCCCATACACAAGAATATAGCACTAAAACAGTGACACGCAGTAACCACTGGTTTATACAGCGACCACACGAGAAGCAGTGAGAGACCATACAGTAACCACTGGTTTATACAGCGATTACCGTCTCAACACCACTGAGAATGCACAAGAGATTAAAGGTCAGAATGCAGATAAGATCAAAGGCCTACTTTGAGGCACCACGTGACAAATCACTGAGAGTCACGTTCAAAGGTCAATGAGCACTCAAATCAAGGAAGCAACGAAAGACCTACTTTGAGGGATCAAGCGAAGCTCTTATTCAACACACGCGCATGCACGACAACACACACACGCACGAAGAAAGGCAACGCAATGACAAATCAAGCGCGCAGGATCAATCACATGTGCATCATCTGTGCCGTTTCCGATGCTTCTTGCCGCCCCGCGTCAATGCACTCCTGGAAGTAGAACTCTGAGGACCCCCTTGTTGCGAATCATCCTCCTCGGAACTTTCAATTCCCAATTGCAGCCTGTATGCATGAAGAGCCTCAGTCCTACGCTGAAACTCCTGTCTCGGGAGTCGGTGTAGCTCACGCCAAAGAGCACTGACATCGACACCGGCAAGGGCCCAGTCCCTGGCAGCTTGACACTCGTCCTCCGTCACTGCTGAACTCACAACTGCATTAGATAAACTCCCAGTCGTTGAACTCCCAGGGTGTGAAGTCATAGAATATTTATAATGAGAACAATGCAACTGCTCATTCCGCAACTCCTCATTCTGCAACTCCTCACCCTGCAACTCCTCATCATGCAACTCCTCTTTCAGAACACCTGGATCAACAGAAACAGAAACCACTTCCGATCTTCCACGAATCTCCACATCCTCGTTCTCCTTCTCCACCTCCGACATCTTAACATCAGTTGCCGACTTAACAGGAGCAGCCGTCTGAGCAGGAACAGGAACGTGCGAACCCACGTGCGCTACCTCATGATCAACACGCTGAGCCTGTAGGGTCTGCCCTACAGGTTCCCCAAGGACAGCATCATGCCCCGACCTGCAACTCATAGTTTTCTTCTTCGGCCTCCTCGATATGGGACGCAGCCTCGCTTGAAGGGGTATCTCATAAGAAACCACTGAAGGCCGATCATCAAACTGGACTCGCCTAGATGAAGAGCTCCCAACATGAAAATCAGAGGCGCCATGATCAACACTGGACCTGTGATAACAAGATGACTCATGATCAACATCCTGATCAGCCTTTGGGGTCTGCCCGACAGGCTCCCCAAGGACAGCATCCTGCCCCGACCTGCACATCATAGTTTTCTTCTTGAGCCTCCTCCGCTGCCGCCGGGATCCGGCCGAACCGGCGGCAGCGGGATCCGGCCAAACAGGCGGCAACCTAGTCACCGCCGGGGGCCTCGTAGAGCTCCTGGCACCCACTGGAGTGCTCAGAATCGAAGCAGAGAACTTTCGATAAGATTTTCTGAAAATCTTAATTTCTCCATTTTTCGATGTTAATACGAGCTCGGTTCCCGGAAGTAAACCCATAGTAAAACTCCCTCGGGAGAGCTGAGCTGCCCTGGGAACAACGTTCACATGCCAACGCTCGGCGTAACAATCTGCTTTCTCAAAATAAATGGTCAAATATCTTTCCAATCTTAGCAAAACCAACCAAAAACTGGGAACCGGCGGTAAACCGTCAACCTGGTTACCGCCGTGAACCTCGTAGAGCTCTTTTCTTGCACGGCGATCCTCGGAACACATGAAGAAAGCTTCTTGAGCAAGAATCGAAAAACTCGAAAAATCACGTTTTTCTGCTTTTATCCAACGTCGGTTCCTCCAAGTGTTTTGATAGTAATACTGCACCTACAGACCTGAGAACTTGACTGGCAGATGCGAAATAACCCACTACAGGTGCGAAAAATCTGGTTTCTCAAAATGAATGGTCAAATATCCTTCAAATAAAAGCAAAACCAACCCAAAGTCACCATATGGGAACCAGCGGTGAACCGTCAACCAGATTACCGCCGGGCACCTCGTAGAGCTCTTTTCTTGCACAGCGCCCCTCGGAACACATGAAGGAAGCTTCTGAAGCGAGAGCCGAAAAACTCGGAAAAAAAACACGATTTTTCGGTTTTCATCTAAAGTCGGTTCCTCCAAATGTTTTGATAGTAGTACTGGCGCTGGCGGTAAACCGTCAACCTGGTTTTTTGAGTTTGAGTCAGGGCGCGGACAGCTGTGACAGCTGAGCCCTAAGACTCCCAAACGGAGCACAGGGTAGCTAGAGAAGGCATCTCTTATCATCACACTGCCGAGGCACTGAGGCATAGGCATCGGAACAGGATGCAGGAACAAGGAAAAGAATGCAGCACGACATGTGAAACTGCAAAGGTGTAGGAACAGGTTAGAGAAGAAAGAGGCTACCCACACGTACGCTCCTCGTGTTCAACCTGTCTACCGCCGGGGACCTCGTAGAGCTCCTCGCACGTTTCAGAGAGCTCGGATGGAAGCTATCAACGTTCAAGAGTATTTATTTGAGAAGCCAGAACATGCTTTCTGGCCTCAACATGACGTCAGATCCCGGAAGTCAGCCCGCGCAATATTACAGTTACCGCTCTAGGAGACTCTGCACTGTGAGACGCGCAATGGTCGAATCCTCGGCGGCAAAATCTGAATTGCTCAAACGAAATGTGACATATAGAACATGTTTAACAAAACCAGTCCCAGATTACCGCATTGTTTCTTCTGGTCGGGTCGATCAATAAGCTCCCGTCCGCACACGAATTCTTCTAGCTTTGGTCCCCATAGGATCTCTACGAAGCGTGGAGTCCAGTATCGTGGGCAGCCCTTTTCTAATATTCAGATGCATATTCCGAATTGGAACATGAATTTGGGGCGTCGGAACAAGCGGCGCAACGTTGCACATGAAACCATGCAAGATGCATCAGCATCTGCGCGACACATGTGGTTGGTGATGATACGAACATACAAAAACAATCCGCCCATGCAAAAGGGATGTCAAGATATGCTACAGGGCCTTATCATGTCACACATGCTTAAGGATACTGTCAATTGAGTCCCGACGGAGACGGAAGAGTGCTCTGCGATGGGCACGCGCCCGCTCTCACTCGACATAATGCCCGCTAGGGTATGTCGATGGACGTTGCCGTCCAGCCCCGCGTCCGTACATATTACTGCCCTTGGTATTCGAGTTTGTTCATGACGAACTCGCACGGCAAGACTGTTTCGGGAAGGAACGCAAGCCCTCAGAGCAAGCACTGCTTCACGAATGCGCGGGGAAAACTGCATGGGCAACACGAATCACACAATCAACGCATCAGAGCATGTGTATAAACAACCATGCGTATGTCATCGCATGACATTACACTCAAATCGGAAAACCTGGAAGATACCGAAATTATGATCCGCTGCATTCATTTTGGGCGTGCACACGTTTACGCACCGCAGTTCCCGCACGACCCCGATTGTTCGACATACCAAAAAGCACCTCACAACTTGCAGCCAGCTAAGAGCAGAACTCATCGCCCCCGTGCGCACTCTTGAAACACGCTAGAGCGAGCAGGCAACGCTTTGCAAGCTTCCTTCACGAAGCCGCTCAGCGTACGAGGACGGCCCATAGTTTTCAATATTGCAATCCCCTCGCAATAAAGGAAAAGCTGCTATTCCGGCAAATTGCGGCTCCTCCAAGCCATACCGCGAATGCGACCGACGGCCTCCGCCGGGGGCATCTTGCTCATGCAAGCACGAATGAAGGTGTGAGCGTTAACACGGGCGGGCATTCTGCAATCCACCAGCACACGCAGGAGTCAAATCACCGCCGCGCCTGTCGGTCGACGGGGGGGCTCGGCCCAAGAGCTACATGGCCACCAAGCCCCGATACCCATCAAGCAGTGCACAATACCCACGACCCGTACAATCCAGTAGCTCTCATTAGTAACATATCATACGACACTGCCCGAAGTTCTCTCCTCCAAGCTCCCCCTCCCGGCCCCCCGCGCTCAAAGCACTCTGTCCTATCCGGAGCAAGTCGGGGCGCGTCAGAAAGGAAGTGTTTCGGGGGGAGGTGTTGGACTCAGGACCCCCCGCCGTATGCGAACACGAAGCGGACACAGAGGCGACAAAGATCAGCGCCAACGTCGTTTTGCCCGGTGCCACAGAGCACTGAGTGAAGCCGCTCTCATATCCCATCCACTCCACTCCTGCGCAATCCCCTTCGGAAATCCCAAACCCCAAACCTCTAATATGCGTTGGCGCTTCTGGGACACATCCCAAGCATGTCGGGCGACTTCTCCAACGGCCCGACAGGTCCACGACGCCCCAAGCGAGTCCGAAGAGACCCCCGAGGCGAACTAAGAGCGCCGCCAGACAGCCCACGGGGGTCCAAATCGGCCCAATTTCAGCTCAAGACCGCCACCAAGCTCCCCAGGAAAGCTTCAAGAGCACCGCCAGGATGCACACCAGTGAGAAAATCCCCAAACGTCGTTTGGCATGTTCATCAGCGTGAAGGAGCTCGCGCTTTCTATACTCAGCGCGGCCAAGAAAGTGCCACCAAGGAGAGCTCCACGACGGCCCAAGAGAGCCCAGTGACGACCAGGAGGCCCCGAGACAGCCCAGGAAGCCCCTAAAGAGAGCCCAAAAGAAGGGAACTCGAACTGGCCTTCGGGGCCCTCCCACGATATAACCTCGAAGAACCCCGCCACCCCCCACACGAAGCTCCCCAGGGCGCCCCACGAAGCACCAAGAGGCTTCCAGGTGACCCCGGGAGGTTTCTAACAAGCCCCAAAAGGACTTCCAAGAAACCCCACGAATCATTATCAACGCCTTTCGCCTGACCCACGACCCAGGCACGGTGGCAGGATGAACCGAACTACACTAGATGGCATTCTGCCGCCGCTTATCTGGCCGACAGTGCTGCTGCGAAGCAGTACGAACAAGTAGCTATAGGGAGACCTACAAGTGTCCACTGGCAGCATGCTGCCGCTGCGAAAAACAGCATCTCCCCCCTGTAGGTTTTCACGCAGGAAGCCACTGACATATTGAGTTCGCGTTGCGAAGCAACGTGCTGAAGCCAACGCCACTGCCCAACATAACGTAGAAGTCCCGACAGCATTGAGGTGGTATCGAAATTCATATGCAAGCTCGGATTGAAAGGCTCATTCGGACGAAGCTGCATCACGCAGTGGGACTGCTTCGTCTCTACGTCTATAATTTCTTCCTCGCCGGGCAGAAGATGGGTTATATCCTCTGCGGACAGATGTGTCATGGATCGCTTATCGAGCACATACTGCCGTGCACAACACCTGCTCATTTTGACCCCCTCAGGCTTGCCACGTGGATCTTGAAAAAAACGTGCGGGCAAGCCAAGCGCCAGGACAGCCCCACCTCCAGCGCGCCCATAGCTGTCTGGGTGGAACGGGCAGTCTTTCTTGCGCGGGCTATGGCAAGAATAATCCCTCCAGCCTTCGGGGCGCGGTTGGTTCAACGGGCTAGTTCTTTCAACCCCCTTCTTGCCCTCCAGGGGCGGCTCAACACGATTCAAGATATCCTCCGAATTGCTCCCATGAGGCCCCAAGACTGCTCGAAGGCGACTCCGCGTGGCCACGGGAAATGTTTCACAACATCTTGCACGTTCAAATGCCGGTTGCATCCTCGCCCTGTCGCTTCTGATGGGCGGCTCCAAGATCGCCCCAGACAGCCCCAGAAGCCGCCCAGGGGGGCACCACGACGGCCCCAAGAGCGCACAAGAGCGCCGAAGAGCGCCCCAACATGACCCTGACAAACAAGTTAAAGGTTCCTGACGGGGTGCCGCTAATTTCTCACGCTCCCGTCTTTCGTCGGCAGCCTCCAAGATGGCCACGAGAACGCCCCTGAGGCCCCCAAGAGGCCCCATGGGAACCCTAAGAGCGCTCCAACTTAACCCCAAGAGACCCCCAAAACATGTCCAAACATTCCCTTATTCCCAATGTGGCTCGAGGCGTATCAAGGTCTGCGCGCGTAAAACTTCAGGCTCCAAGAAGCTCCTCGATGTCTATAAGGTCACCATCGTTGCCACCCTTGCTTCGTTGCATGCCCACTCATGTCATTTTTCCGCACAACTCCCGTGGGCATGGTTTCTGGATGAGCTGAGCTGGCGGGGATACGCGAAGCGTAAAGAATAACATACAGAGCTGGCTCCACATATTGCCGCGTGCCGGCCCCAATCCGCCGCCCCTACGCAATGGGCAAACGAACAGTTTGACTGCGCGGTTGCAGACATGAAAACATACGCATACGAGCAGGAGAAGGCAGTGAAGCGCTCGCGCTGACACGCACGAAACGCCACCAAGCGCCAAGGGCAGAACTCGGCGCGCCACTTCGCGAGAACAAAACACATGGAAGACGTCCCAAGACGGAACCAGAAAGACCCATGGAATGGCTCCTGCAAGAAAAATCATGTCATGCCAATGCGTTTTTGGAGCTCGCT